AGAGGAGAGGAGAGGAGAGGAGAGGAGAGGAGAGGAGAGGAGAGGAGAGGAGAGGAAAAAGGGAAGGGGAAAAGGGAAAATCAAGGCAAAGAGGAAGGCTAAGCATTACAAGCTCAGTCTTGGGGTGCATTCATGCTGCAGGTGTTGCACAGGGTGCAGAGACCCCCCCCAGCCCCATATATTGACCCCTTGCTGCTGTCCCAGCCAGGACACGGGGAGGGACCCCCTGGCTGTGAGCCACAGAGGGGCCTGGGGGGGTCACGAGCCCCGCAGCCCCCTGTGCTCCCCCGCAGCGCCTTGGGCAGCTCAGCCAGGGACGCCATGACAAAGCCCACGCCCCGTGACACGAGGCCAGCAGCGTGCTTCGTGCCCGGCGAGGGGGTCCACACGGTGTGGGGGCAATTCCCCAGCCAGCAGGATTTGGGGGTGCAGCCCCAGGGAGAGGGGCTCAGTCTCCAGCCCTGCCGGGCTGGGGAGCCAAGATGAGGGCTGTGGGGCCAGCTGGCAGTGGTTTGGGTCGCCTTGGCCACCGCCAGCTCCTCGCACCACACTTTGCTCCCCGTGAATTTGGGGGGTGCTCCTGGAGGGGCCCTGCTGCCCCTGGTTCCCCCCAGTTGCTCCAGGCTGATATTAAGGGAAAGAAAACCAGAACAGGCAGGATCAGCCCCTCTTCCAACCAGCCCGGGTTTTTTTTTTTTTTCCTTCCAGGCAAACACGAGGAGAAGCAGGATGAACATGGCTTCATCTCCAGGTGCTTCACCCGAAAATACACGTAAGTACCAGGGAGGAGGGGAGCTGGGATCCTGGCAGCCCCCCGATGTCTTCAGGGATCTCTGCCCACCCACCCATCCCCTCCAGTGCCCACTGGCCAAACTGGGGATGCTGCTCACCCATATTGGGAGTGGGGTGAGGCAGCAATTTGGGGCTGAGCGTCTGTCACCGGTCACAGCATCGCACCTGCTGGGGTGGTGGGTGCCGCAGCCCCGCCCCCCCCCCTCCCCCCCCCCCCCACCCCCCGGCGTCGC